AGACAACTACAGGTTGTTGGTGGAAAACCTCCTCAAGGCATACAAAAGCCTTGGTTGCAACATGTCACTAAAGATACATTTTTTGCACTCTCATCTAGATTTTTTTCCACCGAACTGCAGAGCAATGAGCGACGAGCACGGTGAGCGATTTCATCAGGACATTGCAACAATGGAGAAACGCTATCAGGGCAAATGGAGCCCATCAATGCTTGCAGACTACTGCTGGACAGTGACAAGAGATGCTCCATTTAATGAATACAAGAGACAAGCCAAGAAGCGCCGAGTAGACACTGAATAGGACTGAACTATGTACAGAATAGTGTTTTGCCTTTTGTTTCATAATAAATTTTATTTATATAACCCTTTTGCTGATTTTTAAAGTGTTACATAAACAGGACAGGTGAAATATCATGTAAAGCAACCATAAACACATGAAAAGACCTTGGTTTACAATTTATGATTAAAACTCTACTATCTACACAATATACATAGACATAAAATGTAAAAGCTTAAATATCTTAGAAACAGTAGCCAATCAGTTGTTTTAATTGTCATATTTGAATTCAGCACATCAAAATACATAATAAATAGCACATTTTATCTCTGAAGCAGACGACTTCTCAAAAATTGTAGACCAGTGTATTTTAAACCGTTTAGATTTCTGTGCTGATGTATTGTGGTGTGTGTGGTTTCTTAATGTATTGAACCCATTAGGTATATGCATGGACTATTCACCTTCATCTGATTTGTGACCCACCCTTCCATTTGACTTATGACCCTACACTTGGCACTTATGTCCTCTTTTTATCTTTGTTTCCACTTTGACCAGTTATCCTAGCCATTCTGGAAGCTGACACATGTAAATTGTTAGGTAAATACACAAAAAAGCTGGAAGATGATCTTCCTAACCCAAACTCCAGCAGAGCAACTGCATGCTGGGATTCAACAACTACTAAGGAGAACGTACACAAGCTACACATCACGTGGCACAGCTCTGGTAAGCACCTTCAAACCTGATGAAGATGTTCCTGTGAGTAATGGCACAGACTGATTAGGTGTGTGTTTATTCTAGACTGACAATTATTCCTTGATAATTAAGGACTTTCTTCCCCTTTAGCAGCCCACATAAGTACCAAGAGAGCAACTTGCTGTACGAGGCATGGGGCAGTGCAATGAGTAGGCAAAACCAAACTGCTCTCCCTGTATACATCTGCCAGCAGAACATGTGGCTGAAGGAGTAAGAATATGCTGCATGCCTTGAAGGAGTGTTTCAGACATTTCTTCTCCCAGCACAACCTAGAAGCTTTAGCGCATAATTTCTCTAAGTGCTCACCTTGGGATGGTGCAGCTATTCTTACTTCCCTTCTCTAAAGCCAAATGCAGGGGTATGCCAGAAAGTTGCAACTGAGCTCCTAGTAAAAAGACAGGTTTTATTCCCATTGTGTTGCAGATATAGGTCCCTCATTATCAAAGAGTTGCAATTATACCCCATATTTGGCACTTTTTTGATGTGTAACGGGGATGCCTTTTCATTTGTAACTTCAACAGGTGAAGTGAAAAAAAAACGAGTGCATTCACCCACTGCACTTCCTAATCCCTTTTACCCTTGCTTTTGATTAACTGGATGCCATCAGGTACGCACATGAATTCTTGATGCTAGTACAACAGAAGTCTAAAAGAAAGGTACACCAAGAGGGGAAAAAACCATTACAAACGGAATGAAGGTGTTTGGGGTAAGGGGCTAGGGAGGAAGCATTGCCTATAATCATTAGGAACAGGTTCTCTCCCAGTTCTGCTTCAAATTTGTTGTGTGACCTTGGGCAAATTAACTTTGCATCATGGAGGAAAGGGCAGAAAAATCTGCAAAATCTGCAGAGGGGAGGAACAGTGGCTCCATTCTGTAATGGAAGCCGTGGAAGTCCTACTGCTCCAGCTCAGCAGTGTGCAGAAGGAGGCTAAGCCAAGGATCATCCCCTCCTGCAGCAGGCTCCCCAGTTTAATCATCAGAGCTATTAAACAGATATCTGTCTTGAACTTAAACAGCTGCTATAATCAGAAATATTTCCTCCTTCATATTTTCTAGGTCCTAGATGTGTAGCATTCAACCTTCTTCCTGAAGTTTGTTCATCTGTGAAAAGGGGAGAATATTTATCACAGAGTTAAAAAATGTTTGTGCACCACTTTGAGAAATAAAAACCGTCATACTGGGTCAGACCAAAGGTCCATATAGCCCAATATCCTGTCTTCTGACAGTGGCCAGTGCCAGGTGCCCCAGAGGGAATGAACAGAACAGGTAATCAGGAAGTGCTCCATTCCCTGTCTCCCATTCCCAGCTTCTAGCATTCAAGTATTAAGGTGCTTATAGCTACTAATAAATCTTAAAAAGAACATTAATAAAGTAGGAAAAGTACATACTAAATGTTTCCATGTACATTAAAATTAATAACTCTGAAAAGACTATCTGTATACTATGTATATGTTTTATAAACAGAGCCATTTTAAGTATTTTTAAACATGGTTCTTATTAAACTGTTTTTCCATCTTCCTGGCACTTCTGAAATTATATTGGCATCAAAAAAGATGAGTTCACTATATAAAGTTGCTAAAATGTAAGGCTAAGTAACTTTTTTTTCATCAATTCTTGTTGCTGTTCCTAAGTGGGACCAAGTACTCTGCTAGATAATTCTCATGGAGTTTGTAAAATAAATAAAATACATAAAAAAATCAACTATTTGTATTGTTTTTATTTTTTTATTCTTCCCGCCTTGAAGGTAGAAATACTAACTACCTGTCTTATTTCATTTTGCATAGTTGTTCTCTCCTTTTTGCCTGAACACCAGTTCAGAGAAACATTTTAAATAGAAGGTAACAAAATATTTCACTTTGTAATACTAGGAATATTCATGTGGATTTTTTTGTTTTGGTTATTCAATCTTTTTTTTTTTCTTTTAGAAGAACAAACACTATTTCACAGGTTCATGAGTAGAAACAAGCTTGCTATTCCTCAACCACTGACATGATTCATGTCCATTTTGTTTCTGGACGTAACAGTATTATCAGAGAAATAGTTCAGCACTTGCAGCTGGGTTTTGCTGAGATGTGTGTTTTACAATCATCACATCAAAACATCTGTTTCGAGTGTGGCATATTGACTCTTTTCTAAGAGCACCACCACCAACACTAACAACATATTGTAGCTCTTTTTAACTATATAAAATGAGTGTGGCAGATTCATCCTTAGCACAGGTTTGATCCAGACCACAAATAAGCCACAGAGCCTTGCAAAATTCACTGTAAATAAACAAACCAACAAAGTCAGCTCCCAGTTGTTGAAAAGACAGAAGCTGGGGGTGGGGAAGAACAAGTAGGTGTGTGTTATTCCTTATAGTAAAGCAAGGAAAGCTTGCATTTAACTACTACATTTTAATATAGCCACAGAAGTTATAGACTGCTAATGCTGCAACCTGCTCTTCTTCATCTCCCTTGTAGCCCAGAGTCTTGTTTACCAGTATGGCCTGTAACCTTTTTGACATTTGCGACTTCTGCACTACACAACAGCTTTTCCACACAGAGTGGGAGAACCATTCAGGTCAGGATTGATATACATTTTAGAAGCTTTCATAGCACTTGCCAGAAGCACTTTCCCATGTTAGCCAAAGGCACTAAAATTACGACTATAGTTTTAGAAATAAAGAAGAAAAACCACTGGTTTTTAAGCAGCAACTGCTTTACTGAGATATTGGACAATCTTTTTGCCTATCAATCTAAAGGTCTCATCCTTTCTGAATGTCTCCACTGTCTTCCCCTTCTCCATCACATCAAATTCTTGCTACCTATAATTACCTTCAAGGTCCTGTGTAACTCTGCCTCTCCCTATCTTATTTGAGCTTGTCTTTCATTGTCTGGCCTCTTCATCCAGCCAAGTATGCCACCCTCATTACCTTGTGTCATGGACCAAGCCCTGGCATCAGGCCTAGTGGTCAAAGACGTAGGTCAGAGCCGGAGTCAGGAGTCGGAGCCAAGGTTCAGAAACTGAGCAGGATGGGAGTAGATTGGAGAAGGGCAGGAACAAGGCTGGGACTAAGGCAGGCACAGAAGCAACAACTGCTCACTGGTGTAAGCACTGAGCAGCCACTGGGCAAGTACTCCTGGTGGACTTAAGAACAGTCCTGGCAACACTGCTCAGCCAATATGACCAATTAAGGGTTTCAGCTGCCATGAGCAAGCTGGTCCCAGACTCAGCTGCAGGCCCTCATTCCTGACACATTATTTGTTTCCCTCACAAACATCCCCATACTTCAATCCATGCCTCTCCCCATATGTAGAACACCCTTCCTGTACACGTTTTCCAAGTCACTGTACTCTTACTTAAATCCCTCCAGAAGATCCACTGTTTCCTTTGGCACACACATGACGCTTGCTAATTAAGTTATCTACTTAGCCACATCATTTGTTCATTTCTTGAATGAACCACTCTTGTGTTGAAGGAGGAGATCAAATGCTGAGGAAGAGAGTAACAAGAAACTGGTGTGGGGAGAGCAAAGAAGTGATTTCTGGAGAGAAGATGGGGGGGGTAGTTAGTGGGGTGGGAGGAAATGACAATGAAGAAATGAGATATGTGCCCAGCTTCACCCAGATCTCTCTCACCAGATGCTGTGTCTCTTTCTTCCTCTCATTGATTTTGCCATTTCAGACTATACACTCTTCAGGATAGGAACTGTGTCCTTCTGCTAAAAAAAAAAAAAGAGCCTAACTTATTTTGGGTGCTATAGCAAACTAAAAATTAATGAATTATTGAGTGTATACGCCAGGGTCCGCAACGTTCAGCACGCGGCTCGCCAGGGTAAGCACCCTGGCGGGCCGGGCTAGTTTATTTACCTGCTGACGTGGCAGGTTCGGCCGATCGCGGCCCCCACTGGCCACCGTTCGCCGTCCCAGGCCAATGGGGGCGGCAGGAAGCCACGGCCAGCACATCGCTCGCCCGCGCCGTTTCCCGCCGCCCCCATTGGCCCGGGACGGCGAACCGCGGCCCCCACTGAACCTGCTGCGTCAGCAGGTAAATAAACTGGCCCGGCTTGCCAGGGTGCTTACCCTGGCGAGCCGCGTGCCGAACGTTGCCGACCCCTGGTATACGCCAAGCACTAAATGATGGGGGTTAGTAAGTAGTTTTTACTAGAGCTCTCCAGAGCACAACAACAATTCTGTTTTGCAGCAACTTTTGAGGTCTCGGCAGTTGTTTTAGTTTCTCCATTGGAACAAGAACAAAACTTTTTGAATGTTTAAACAAAAAATGGATTTGTATCAAAATGTCTGTTTTCTGATCAAAACCTGGGTACTGACCTGGGAGGCAGATTCAAATTCAGAGCAGAATTTTTCATCCCATATCACTCTGAATCAGGCAAAGCAGGGACTTGAACCTGGGTCTCTCACATCCCAGGTGTGGGACTTTCTCTTTTGAAAATCTTTCCAACAGAAACTTAATTGACACTAATACAGCTCCAGGAAACATTCTGGCTTTGATTAAACAAATTAATTTTAAGAGAGAGCTGGTCAAATGTATGAGTGTCATTGTCTGACAGAGGTGCTTGTGATGGGAGGGGGCAGGGCTCACTCCAGTTTATGTCTTATGTTCCTAAAGCTCATGCTCAGGATTCCTGCTGGTGTATTTAATGTATTCTGTGAGGTTGTATTATCTCTTTCCTCTGAAGCATCAGGGATGGCCACAGATGGAGATGGGACACTAGGTGGGGAGGGCCAGGGCTTTAGGTGGCACTGAGCAGTGCTTGGCTGGCTGGTTGTTGCTCATATGCTCAGGGTCTAATGAATCACCACATCTGAGGTCCGGAAAGAATCTTCCCCCAGATCAGATTGGCAGTGACCCTAGGTATGGGAGATGGGTTGCCTTCCTCCACAATCAACATTTTTTTAAATCAAGATTGGATGTTTTTCTAAAGATCTGCTCTAGGAATTATCTTGCAGAAGTTCTAAGTCTGTGTTATATAGGGGGTCAGACTGGATAATAACAATTGTCCCTTCTTGCCTTAGAATTTATGAAAACTTTGAATATTAAAAGTAATTCACAATATGTACACCACAAGTCTCTCACCTTGCTCTGTATTGAAGTTATTAGTGACCTCGACTGTGAGCTTTTTTGCTCAATGGAATTGTCATCCAAATGAGCTACCACTTTTCTTTTCTTTGCTGTTGACTCAATCTGAGGGTTCAGTTTATAGTGTAATAAATATGGAGTTGATTAATCTATTGGCTGCTAGTAACACCTCATTCTTGTAGATTACAAAGTGTACACACACAGGGCATGGCCTTGTAAACCATAAAACTACTTGAAACTATTCCTCAGTAAAAATCAAAGCTATGTATGATTCCAATCAAATCACAGTTTTTAATCTATTCAGATTATGAATATTTTACAAGAAACAGATACCGGGGCGAGTTCTCTGAAGGTATAGTATCTCAGCTTTCTCAATTTTTGATTATTAATCCTCTTTAAAAAATGAATTTGGAGGGTCTTTATCAACAAGATTTAACTTTTTTTTTTGGAGGGGAGCATTTTTTAAGAAATTTTGTGGTCAGAATCTTGTTGAAACAGTAGCTAATGTAACATACATCTTTAAAATGCATTTCCCATAAACTGGACTATAAAGCTGGGTCTATATTTAGTCTAGCCAGTGTGAAGAAAAGGAGTCTGACTCCTTTAAGAGTTCACCCAAAGGAGTGGGGGAGAAGTGTGTGTGTGGGGGGGGCATCACCTAAGCAACAGGCTGCCTGGGAGGACCTCAGACGGGCCACTATCCCATGCATAACAGACAGAACCTTCCAGAACTCCATTCTCCCCAGAAAGAGCCCTCTTTTCATTTCCTAGGCCATCTGGTTCCATAGTACAGCACGGAGACAATCCCCTTTCCACAGCCACTTAAGCCTCATACAAGGGAAGGGCAGTGGGGTCTCAGCAATGACTTGGGACCAGGTTAAAGTTGTGAGGGCTGACAGCAGCTCTCCCAAATAGGTGAAAAATATTAAGGAAAGAATAGTCCTGAGGTGTTTAATCTATTGCCTGGCATTTCCCAGATAAGTGAATAAAGTTGCAGTCTAATTAATCCACATCCCTTGTAGCATCTCTTTCTTCCTGTGTGGCTGGGACAATGTGCAAAGTACGTAAGAGCAAGTGGCTTCATGTCTCAGCATAGCTGAAGTGATGCTCCATTACCAAGGAGTAATTAATCATGTTGAGGGCATGAAAAAACAGGTTCTCAGTCTTGTGATCACAGAGACTAAAGAATGATCTTTTTTACAATGCTGAATCTTAGAGGTGAATTTTAAGAACATATGTGGCTGCAATTGAGGGAATGTGAAATCAGAAAAGTGCTTGGAGGTAGTTTAAAATGTATCTTCCCTTCCATCTGAAAGCAGGACTTACTATTTAGTCTCACTATGTGGTGTCATCAGTCATTCATTATACATATAAAACTTACCTCTGTCAAACTATATATATATTTGTCTGTTCCTTGTTCTTGCTAATTACGTCACTTGTCAATGCTACAGCAGTTGAATTTACACTATTTCAGATTTCTGCACACCACTGAAGGGATCTTAAATACAGCCACCTGTGTGAAAAGAACATGAAGTTTTTTAGTTTTAAAAATTAATTCACAGAAATTAAGTTTTTGGGGTAAAACATTTACAACACAAGTACAGAAACCCACAACTTGTTTAAACAAATACTCTTCATTACAGTACCTTGTAATGCAGTTAAGCTTAATAGGACAATCTTAAGAACATACAATTTGATTGGTAAAAACATGCATATAGGATAAACTGTTTAGCAATAGGTGTAAGTGAGTGGATTAACTAGAGAAGCTTATAGTTCTCACTAGATGTGTTTTTACTTAACTGTTACTGTAAAATGCAGGTCTTAGAAATTACCATTTCAGGATTATAATTTATTAAATTACAGGTAGCATTGCAAATCCAAACAATATATTACTCTATTTTAAATATCTATGGGGGATATATCCATCTCCACTGGGAATTTCTAAGGTCATTTCTCACCAGAAAATCTAAGGCAAATATTTTCAAAATGTGGTGCCTAAATTTAGGAAACTAAATTCTTATTTTGCAACTTAAAAAACTACATTTAAAAAAATAAATATATAGATTTTGCAGTATTGGAAGGGTAAGTTAATACTACAATGTTATGAATTTTAGCTTAGAAAGAACTTTCTATTTGAGTACAAGAAGGCCCCAAAGTTCTCCAAAGTTATTGAGTACAAATATATTACTACAGAAATGGAAGAAATGAGCTGAGTTAAGGATCTGCAGTGTAGAGATTGTTCATAAAACCTTTTCAAGTACTAGAAATATCAGATATTTCTGTTCACTTGGTTCTCAAGATAACATAGCTGTAAAATTCTTACTGCCATAAAATAATGTTTGACAGTATCTAACAAACCTGTGTCATTCATTAAACACAGGACAAATGGAGTTTGTGGAAACACATTTCCAGAGTTCATACACAGGTTAAGCCATTAAACTGATTCAAAATTTCTTGAAACAAATCCAACCCAAATATAAATAAAAGGGAGAAAGAAGAAAACACTTTTCCAAGTGTTTGACACTTTCCAGCGTGCTACTGTGCACCACTTCTAATAGTTTACACAGTTATGTGCTGTACATACCATACAGTACTACATCATAAAGAAGAAAGATTTATGACATCCAGCTATACCTGATTTTTATTTGTGATTGCTGTTTGTTTTAGTTTTGGGATGTCACCTTAACTTTTTGATATGATAACTTCCATTTTCATTTTATTTTTATTACTATCTTGTACGTCTTCCAAGGTATTATAGGTTGCCTGAGACTTCCAATCACAATACACTGTTTTCAGTTGTTTATTTAAACTACCTTAGTTGAGATTCTCTTTGTTGGCTGTCTGTCTCAGGCTGATTCTTTCTGGAAAATTTCAGACAAAATGGTTCATCCATTTCTGAGAACAAGGTTAGGGGGGGAAAAAATCAGTTGGTTTGCCCATGTTAAAAAATATTGGTGACTCTTTCTTCGAAAAACTCTAGCTCTCCCAATCTTTGGAGCAGAAACTTGAAATTTAGAAAGTTTTGGCCTTTGTGTCAAAAGAATATACCTTTTGCAATCCCCATGAAAATCCTCACACATTTTGATAAATTAAAAGCCTTTGAGAAATTGCAGTTTGCACATGTTATATAATGGTAAGCACTCTGAAAAATTAGGTCTGAGGTGTCTCAACTTGGGCACCTAAAAATTGTGGGCATCATTGACTCTAATTGCCCTGCGCCTCAATTCTCCCATTTTACATATGGGTATCATACCACCCCCTGACATTAAGAACAGCCCCAGGGCAGAGGTTAAGAAGCACCCAGATATCTGCTAATGAATAACAGCTGACTTAGCAACTTCAAATATGCCCCAATTCTTTAATGTGATGAAATGTATCTGATAAGCGTCAATGAAAAGCTCATGAATCATGCACAATTTCATGGTATATTTCACCGAAGCCAACAAAAGGTACCAGCCCTGTGACTTTCGGGGATAGATCCTGGTCCAGGAGTTTGGTCACTCATCTTGACGGAAATGTGGTAAGAATTTTAATCTTGAACCAAGTTTTAGTTACTAGAAAGCATTTTATCTTTATTTCTCTCATAACCATTATAGACATTAATCAATATACTTGTACTCACGTAAAATCTCTCTTTCTAATCAAATAAACTGGTTTCATTTTTAATTTAAACCAATCCAGTGCTGTGTTTGAGCTGAACTGGTTGGTAACTCCAGTTAAAGTAACAAATTGTTGAACATTGATGCTTTAAATGAGCAACAAACCTTAACATTCCTCTCATTGTTCCAGGACAGGCTTGGACATTTTAGAACACATGTTTTGGGGGACATTCAGATACCGGGAGGTTGTGGAGTCACCATACCAATTGTTAACAAAAGTTACTGAAGACCAGTGGAAGCTTGTGGTATTGCAGGCAGGCTCCTGCATCCGGGGCATTGGACCAGGACAGCTCAACACATACGCAGAATGCATGCTTGCTGCTGGCTGTGGATGTGTCAGGGAGAGAGCTACAGTGGCATAAGGAACTTAGGGCTACAGAATAAGAGGTAACAACTATTCACCAGTCTGGATTGCACCCCAGAATGTGACGCATCCCCTCATCTCTCAGGTGTCATGAGGATAACTTCATTAATGTTTGTGAAGCAGTCAGGTACTGTAGTGATGAGTGGCATAGAAAGAGACTATCAGGAAATTAATAATTCTGTCTTCAGAGCAGGGTTTGAATAGTGTGCACTAAATATGGGATGGAGCCACATTGAAGAATGAGGAGAAAACAAAATATTGAATCGCTACTCATTAAGTGAGCATCCTCCATCCTGTGTGCTGAATAAAACAGGCGTCCGGTGAAAAAATAACCATGTGCTCATGTAATTAAAAGCTATCATAATGCATATGCACAATGGGGGCATGAGCAGACAAATTAATGTTGCACAGGCAACCTCAATTCTGGCATTTCCTAACTTTTGAGTGCTTCACTTTGCAACCTTAATAATGTTCTTTTAATGTACTTTTCTTATGTGTAATATATTATATAAAAGGGTCTAACACTATATTACAATTACTGTTAGCACTGCAGCACATCAATTTCGATTGGCAGATGCAACTATTTTAGTACATTGCTGACTCCACATTTGCCAGTGTTACAGAAGACATCTAGCACATGATCACTGGACAAGAAGAAATATTGTTCATGTCTTTTGTAAGATGTTTATTTATACATGCTCAAGACACACATTAGAAGTGGAGAATATTGATTTCACCTCTTCAGGTTTTCTTATGTATTCTGAACTAGCTACAAGATAAATTTTGAGTCACGTGCAAAAGCTTTATTTTTAAGAGGTCCAGCTTCATGCATGTTTAATTGCATACTTTTTTCACCGTGGTATTTCTAGGTGCGTTACTGCTCAGCAGAATGTCCCCAGCCCACATGATTTAACCATTACACACTCCTGCCAGATGGTCAGTCTACTTCCACCCAATATGACTATATAGGAATTATTTTGGGTCTGTTCATGCTGTTGCTTGGTAAGATACTAGAGCAATTCTATTTGTCTTTTATGTGTTAAGAGCAAACAGCACTTGCAGTCCTTGCCAATGTAAGAAACAAGAGGCTCGGAAGAGTAGCTAAATCTAGATCTCCAACATGACTGTTCAAAGCATATACTCATTTTCAAATTAGCCTGAATCCTCAGGGTCCCAATGAACTAAATCACTAGACACCTAGGATGGAGTTTTCAAACATGCTTAAGTGACTTAACCGCATAAGTCTCTCAGATTTTCTTAAATCATGTAGGTGCTTTTGAAAATCTCAAGCCCCCAGAGAACCAAGTTATCTTCCACCCACTTTTATCTTGTTGGTATTGCACATATTCCTCTCAGATGAGGACCTAGTCACCATGAAATTAGAAAAAGAAAATAAATCTGAGTAAAAGAAGTTAAACCTAGAGCTGGTGCATCTCAAACTTAATGCAAGTCCTGAATGTGTGCATCTTTCACCTAGATACTGTAGGGATAGGCATGTTTCAGATGTCATATATTCGTCAATTAATTACAGATTAAATAAACAGATGAGACAGAGGATGGAGTTGCACAGAAAGATTCACACAAAGAAGAAACAGAAATCGTTGAGCTTCTCTCTTACGGAAGAAAGCAAGTAGTTAAAGTAGTATTGTGAGGTTTTGCCATAAACAAAATATAGTTTCAGCAGTAGAAATATTTTCTTTTTGAAAACATACCTCCTCCCACCCAACAGAATCATACTGTAATAATGCTCCAAAATACTGACTCACACTCATGTTCTCACAGTACCGAGAAGATATGGACCATTTTTGTAGAATGCCATATTCACAGACAGTAATCTTTTACCTTTGAATAGACTCTCTTTGGCCAAATTCTTAAGATCAATTACAGCCCATTTTCACCAGTCAGGGACCACAATACAGTCACATATTGCCACCAGGGAATTCCCCTGGCATATACGGCAACTTTCTTCCAATGCATCTGTGCTGCTGTTGGGCTCTGTGCCCCAGCCTTTGTTTCCGATGCAGATGGGTATGTTGAGAGTGGGCGCTAGTATGGTAGAAGGTACTCCCCACAACAATTTTTCACTGCTGTAGGTTACATTAAGGACCCCATAACAGTAGTAAAAATTAGGCTGTTGCCACATAGCTTTATGTGGTGCTGGGTCTGGAACTAACAATCAGGAAGCTAGAAACCAACACTCTTTCCTGCAGAGCTCTGATGCAACAGATTATCTGTTCCATTTAGCCCACAGTGGTTTTTGCAGGATTAGGGACTTAATGTGGACAGAGACTGGAATCTAGTGCAGGGAATCAGTGGTTGTGGTAGTGATACAGTTGAAGGGAGCCAAGAAAATGATTTTAGTGGCAACATATTGGCTAGGCATGAAAAGTACAATGTAATATGAGCTGAGGGGTGAAAACATTATCTACTAACTTCAATGAATCTACATCAGGGATAAATTTAGCCCAAATATACAAGATTCAAGTAACTTCCT